TCGCGGGGCACCCCTTCCCTCTCGCTGCTGGCGCCCCTGCAGCCTTCCCTGCAGCTTTCGTCCACACCCCAGCCAGGGCCGATTCTGCCTTCTCTGGTTCAGACTGGGACAGGGTTTGCATTGCAGTCAAAACGTGCTTCCCTTGCATCCAGCTGGGAACTGCCGGCAGATCGTGTCACCGGGGTTGTTGGGGGAGGAAGGGATGGGAGACCTGGGCAGGAAGCCGGGAAGAAGTAATGACACCAGCAGATCTTTTAAAAACCTCTAATGTTATAGACACATCTCTGCACGACACCTTTTAAGCTTTTTTTCCTCTTTTTTTTCGAAAGTTATGACCTATCATGATTTTGTGGCAGTTCTGTGATATACCTGAATGGTAGCTTAAACATAGAGACCTAAAGCAGGGGAAAGCATTACATAATGGACGTGAAGCAAATGACACGAAACTAAGTGAATCTAGTGGGTTGCCAGATTATTTCTTTCTCCCGGACACAGTCCTATAGGCTTTTTCTCTTTTAGAATTTCCATTTTTAAATCACTGGACTAGTTTTAGCAAATTGTGTATCATATTCGGTTGTGATATTTTCCAAATAAAATAATTTTTCTTGAACGTTTTTTTTTTTAATTTAAAAATTGCATGCTAATGGATGGTTGTATATCACAGAACTGATGAATAAATGTGGTCTTTCTTCAAAGGTAAAATTTAAAAATATCCCATCTTAATATCCTTAACTTTGTTTTCCTCTCGACTATATTACCCCACTCTCTTTGGTTTTTGGAAGCATTTCTACAGTTTTAGGTACTCAGGCTCACAATGCTGATATTTCTATCAAATGCTACAGCATTGCAGATACAAAGACTAATAATAAATGAAACAGAAGACCTCACAGTAACTCAGAATGAGCAGAGTTCCCAAGGTCGTAGGAAGCTGCAGCGTAACTCCGCTATCATCACCTACAGAGAATATGCATAGCCCTCATTGGGTTATAAGGAAGGCTCTGATTGGTGGAATATTATTCCTATTATTCTTTTATCTCTGGATTTTGTGTTTCCCCCTAAAATATTTTTTCTTAAAGTAGAAACAAAATATTTTGAAATTACAATCTTTGCTTTTAGAAAGCCTAAAAATCCTGCTTTTGCTCATTTTCAATTTGATGTTGGTAACTATGCATTCAGCGGATGCATTCCTTTTGGGATATCTCAATTATGATAGTTTATCACATATCTCTTGGTTATAGTATAATGTGATTCTGTTGGACTTTTACAAGATTGCATAGTATAAGTTTTCTTGTCCCTGGATTGCTTTAACCTTACATTAACTTTAGTCCAAGAGGGAAGGTAAATAAACTCTTTCCAGGATGAAATGTTTGTGGTTCAGTTAATGCATAAGTAGATAAAAGTTTTATATGACTTTATTCATGAAACTGTGGCATAAGAGAGATTTAAATTTTATTAAAATGCCAGGGTTAGGTAGCATTCACTAATCATTCAATGGATGATTACTTATTGAGCACCACCTGTTCAAGACACTGGTTTGGGCATGTGGGAGACACAAATAAAAAGATGTCCCTCCTCTTAGGAGTTTATAGTCTAGTTTAGGAGGATAAAGCATGAATTCTTAAAATGAGGATTTTTTTTTTTTACTTCAAAGGTTAAGTAGTAATTATAATTTTTTTCTGAGTTTGTTTTTAATGTTGAAAAAAGTCTCATACTATGTGTAGGCTTTTGGGACTCCCCTTACCCCAGCCGCATTCAACATTATGTCACTAAGATTCATCCATTATGTGTTTATAACACAAAATGTTTTCCTGTTCTCCTGCCAATGGCCTTCCCCCGCTCCCCCCGCCCCACTTAAAAAAATTGCAAAGAGTGCTGCTGTGATCATTCATGTTTCCCGGAGCACATGTGCAAGTGTTTCTCTTGGGTAAATACCAAGGTGAATATCAACTTACTAGATATTAAATTATTTTCCAAAATTGTTGTACTAATTTACAGAACCCAGGGAAACAAGCAAACACAAATCATCAAATAGAAAGAAGCATTTATGTGTGTGTGTGTGTGTGTGTGTGTGTGCGTGTGTGTGTGTTGAAATACACATTTTTTTTTAAAAAGGCAAGAGAATGATGAACTTAAACTTGGGATAGCTGTTGTCTTTTGAGAGGACCAGGAGGATGGCATGGGGAGGAACACATAGGTGGATGTAAGTTATTGGTAATGATAGAATACTTGGGTTTGGTGATAAGTTCATAGGTAATCATATTTAAAAAAAAAAAGAGTGATGCACGGATCAGTGATAATTTTAAAGTTTTAAGGAAAAAGAAAATAAGGGTAATACAGAGTCATCAGAAGGCAGAGCAGGCTACTGTACCAAAAGACCTACAAAGTGACAACTGAGGAATGAGGAAGCAGTCCCTGAATATAGTCATGAGTTGCTAAGAGTTCATGGGAGAGACTTACAGGAAGGATGAGCAGGAAGTGGCCTTGCTGAGAAGAGGAAGGTCATCTCAGACAGAGGAAATGGATTGAATAGAAGTAGAGGAAGCCATGGTAAAATTTTCCAACAGTGAACCACTCAGAAGGTTCATAAAGTCTAGGGAACTGATGGATTTGCCAGAGGGGAGGTGGTATTGGAGGGGTGAGACCCAAGGCAGGGCACCTGGTTAGAAGGCTGCTGATTGAGATGAGAGTTCTCCATTTGGAGAAAACTAAACAGGGAATTCCTTCTGATAGGAAAATCTATATGGTAAGCTGACAAAAGGCAGAGCTAGGAAACCCAAGTAGCTTAATATTCAGGACTATCTCAGTAGCTTAATATTCAGGACTATCTAAGGGAAAACTGGGTTACAGAGAGCATTAAGTATATAACTCAGCTCTTAAACTTAATAAATTTAAGTAAATAAGAAAATAAGTTTAAATAAGTAAAAATAAGTTTAAATAAGTAAAAAACATTTAAGTAAAATATTGGCATGTTATCATATGAATATATTTCACCAGTGTTATGAGACAGTACAAAGAAATCATGATTCAGACACAAAAATTATCTTCTTTTGATATGATGGATTTTGTTTTTCTGTTCAAGAAAAGCTATATATCAATTTATGAAATATATGAAGAAAATATCCAAACACTGGAAATACTCATATTTGCTTTAAGTGCTGATGCCTGTGTGAATAACCTTTATATTAGATTCATAAGATGTTAGAGCTGAAAAGGGTTTTAAAAAACTTGTATTCTGACCTCTCCCATTTTCAGGTGGGAAAACTGAGGCCCAGAGATTTCCCCGTGAGATGCTAGTCCCATGTGCAAATATAGCTAGGAGATAATGTGCCAAACAATTTACTTCTGTTGGTGGTAACAGAAAATAAAGTTTGTCCCTAAATTATGGGTAAGTGAATGAGAAAATGACCCAATAGCAACCTCCTCAGTGGGATTTTAAGCTTCCTTTCTATCATTCTACGCAAGTGGCTAGTGTAGAAAGTGAAATCATACATATGTTTAAATTTTTTCTTAGGTTTTTAAAGAAAAGGCTTTGTTTTTGAGGGTATGATGAGAAGAATAAATGCTACAGAAATCAGTATTTACATTTTTTTGGTGTTTGCTGTTTTGATACCCATAAATTATCTTGAGCTGTATATTTTTCTATCTCTTTTCCTTTGTCATTCTGTTTCTATATACTAATATGAGAGAAAATCAAAGTGTAGAGGAAATTGAGTCAGAAGTGGAACATTAACTTTTGTTTTTTTATCTTGCATCTTATCAAGGCAGTTCTCACTGAAGCTCTTGAGACAGACCTCTCCACCTTTTTGAAAAGAGTGTGGAAGTAGAAGAGAGAACAACAGCACTATATTTTTAGAATCTATTTTTCAAAAATCAAACCTAAAATAAACCTGGCCTCAATTTCCAGTAATAGCTTTATTTCACATCTCCTTACCTTGATATTTTTAATACATAATACAATGTTGTCAACTATTAAAGTTTGAAGAATAAATTATCTAAGAGACCATTAAAATAAAAAGGTTTTGTTTTTAAAAGGTTTTGTTTTGGAGGTAAAGTCTAAAGTCTCTTTTTATGTTAAAGTAAGATACCATTTTTGCTTTCTGTTTATCTGTAGCAGCTAGATAAGTTTTTGCATATTCTCACCCCATCAGGCAACAATCTGAACAGTTTTTGTTGCATAATTTCCCTAGAATAGAAAAAGTAGCACAGTTTGAATGGCATGTTGATTATGAAAAGACATTAATGAAATTCTTTTTGATCTCAGTAAACTTCAAATTGAAGCAAGAACTATAAAAAGAATATGATCTCAAAGGTAGGGCAAGCAAATGTAGGGTTCATGTTGAACTCCATGAAGAAAGCAAGAGAGAAGGAGAGGCCAAAATTCACAAGAACTCAGAATAATGGACTAGGAAGGTCAGGGCTGGAAGTAGATGGATATTATATCTCAGCTTGTCTTCCAGCCTCA